AGTGCAAAGTTGACTTAAAACTTTAAGTAAAGTTTATCAAGTTATTTTTAGAGAATGCTGTGGAGTGAAAGAAGATGTAGTGTCGACGACTGAGAAAGGTATGTTGAGATGGTTTGCACATATAGAGAGAATGAACGAAAGGAGATAGATGAAACAAGTATACAAGACGAGTGTGGATGGGGGAGTTGGAAGGGGTCGACCTCAGCGAAGGTATCTCAATCAGATTGAAGACGTTTTTAGCAAAGGCCAGCTTAGGAATACCCTAATTAATAACAATGTACCTATCTATATAGTTTAAGTTTAAAAAAAATTGGCTCTCAAAAGAAATTTCAATCGTTGTACTGTTGATATTTGGCTCTGTTGACTAATAAGTTTGCCGACCACTGGTCTAGAGTCTTAGATGTAGAAGATGTTGAATAAATGCTTATCAAATTGATCCAATCATGCCTTATTTCTGCCCTTAAAATGTAGTTTGTTAGGGAAGCAGGATGTTCAGTGGGGAACAGCGAATGGCACGTCCCCAATGTGTCCCCTGCTCCTGCCGGTGAGGAGCATGCTGAACACAGGCCTGGAGGAGTGATTCTCAACCACATCCTTGTGTGATCGCCGGTGCCCTCCAGTCACTCTGCTCACCACAAGACAGGTGGGAGGTGACCAACACCTTTTATTCTTCCCTCAAGTTTTCCAGTGAAAAGCGCACACATGTCATGTGTCTTCACCTTGTCCCAGGGGCTCTCAGTTTATGTGCACCAGCCAAAGGGAAATGGGAATGAGGAACCCTTCTCCTTTTTTTAATCCTCACTTGAGGATATTTTTCCATTGATTTTTAGAGAAAGTAGAAGAGAGGGAAAGAGAGAAATATCAATGCAAGAGAAACATATCATTGGTTGCCTCCTGCACGCTCCCCCCACCCCCACCCCACCAGGACCTGGGCCAGGGAGGTACGAGGTACGTGCCCTTGAACGTGCCCTTGACCGGAATCAAACACGGGACCCTTTGGTCCGCAGGCCGATGCTCTATCCACTGAGCCAAACCAACTAGGGTAGGAACCCTTCTCCTTTCAATCCTTCAAAACCAGAATGAAAATAGGTCACCTCAAAAAAACTCACTTGCCCCATGTGCCATGAACAGTTTATTCTGTGAGCAATGTACTGCTGGTCAGTGTTTGGGAACCACGAAGTTTCCGTTGTCAGTAGGAAGGCTGTTTGGGATCTGCTGTCCCCTCAGAGCTGGAGATCTTCCTAGGCCCAGATCTCATGTTGTCACAGTTTCGTGACCCCAAAATGAAGTCACAGTGGAGACCTACCCCAACTACTACATCAAATAACAAGCCAGGCACCAAAGAACAACTTCATACCCTCACACTGCTTCTCTCCAACACCCTCCTCTTACTCTCCAATTCTGACAGTTTTATCATCAATCCATCCATGACTCTACCACCCTTCATGGCTTCCCACTTCCTCCATGCCCTGGCCTTCCCTCCTTACCCAACTTAAGGCCATCAATCATTATATCACTTCCCTGCACAAACCCTCACTTCCCTTGCCATTTCATGTTTTGTTGAACTTTTTAGGCTAAAACCCAACCCTAAGGCAGGCAAATGAATGTTCAAAGCAGTATTATTTATAATAACCCCAAAGTGGAAATAACCCGAATATCCATCAACTGGTACAGGGATAAACACAATGGGTATATCCACAGAATGGAATAGTATTCAGCAATAAAAAGGACAGCACTGATATATGTTATCATATGAATAAACCTCAAAAACATGCTAAGTGGAAAAATCCTGATACAAGACCCCACATATTACATAATTTTGCTTATATGAAAGGTTCACAAAAGACAAATCCATATGCCCTAACCGGTTTGGCTCAGTGGATAGAGCGTCAGCCTGCAGACTGAAAGGTCCCAGGTTCGATTCTGGTCAAGGGCATGTACCTTGGTTGCGGGCACATCCCCAGTAGGAGGTGTGCAGGAGGCAGCGGATCGATGTTTCTCTCTCATCGATGTTTCTAACTCTCTATCCCTCTTCCTTCCTCTCTGTAAAAAAAAAAAATCAATAAAATATTAAAAAACAAAGAACATGAATACTATTAAAAAAAAAAGACAAATCCATAGAAATAGAAAATAATGAGTGGTTCTCTGGAGCTGAGAGTGGGAAAGGGGGCTCTTACTGGAGTGATGGAAATGTTCTAAAATTGAACTGTGGTGATGGTTACACAACTTGGTAAATTTACTAATGATCATTGAATTGTACACTTAAAATGGGTACATTTTATGGTATGTAACTTATATTTCAATAAAGCTGTATGTGTTGTTTGTTTGTTTTTTAAAAAAACAACTTATTAAATTCGCCTGTTTTGTGATTCACTACACAGCTATAAGTAGCTGGAAAAGAGAAAAGCAACCACATTGGTCCCACTTAAGACTCAAGTGACTTTTAAAAAAATGTATTGCCCTAGCTGGTTTGGCTCAGTGGCTAGAGCATCAGCCTGTGGACCAAAGGGTCCCAGGTTTGATTCGGTCAAGGGCAAATGCCTGGATTTTGGGCTCGATCCCCAGTAGGGGGTGTGCAGGAGGCAGCCGATCAATGATTCTCGTCGATGTTTCCATCTCTTTTTCCCTCTCCTTTCCTCTCTGAAATCAATAAAAATATTTTTAAATGTATTTACTGATTGATTTTAGAGAGAGAAGGAAAGGGGAAGAGGAAGAGAGAGAGAGAGAGAGAAAGGGAGAGGGAGAGGGAGAGGGAGAGGGAGAGAGACATCGATTTGTTGTTGCACTTATTTATGCACTCATTGTTGCTTTTTGTATGTGCCCTGACCAGGGCTTGAACCTGCAAGCTTGGCGTATGGGGATGATGTTCTAACCAACTGAGCAAAGAAAGGTTCAGAAAAGGCAAATCTATAGAAATAGAAAATAATGTTCAAGTGAGTTCCTGAGTCTGTCCTCCAATCATACCATAATTCTCAAGCTCCTTTTGTCTCTTACTCTCCTCAATTATTTCACTCCTTCTCTCTCCTCAAATCTCTAACACCTCATTCCCTAGTCTCCCTTTTCATCTGAGAACCCTATTCCTTCTTTGCTCAGAAAACTGAGGCCATCAGAAGAGAACCTCCAGACCCCCATCATCACACCTCCCTGCTGCCTGTTACTATTATGTTGTCTAGTAGCTACATGCGGCTATTTAAATTAGTTAAGATTAAATAAAACTAACAATTTGGTTCCTTAGTCTTGCTAGTCTCTTTTCGAATGCTTAATAGCTACTACTTCATGGCTGTGGCTCCTGTATTGGATGGAGCAGAACATCTCCATCCTGTAGGAAGTTCTCCTCGGCAGTGCTGTTCAGAGACCTATCTGTACATCTGCCTACAGCACATCCTGACTTATTGTGCAGCTCCTCTCACCTAACTCAAGGGCAGTGCTCCAGCAATTCTTTCCTTTCTCCATGATCAGGTTTCAGCTCTATAAGAGACCACTTCCATCAGTATATAACATGATGTTATTTTCCTCATCTTAAAAAAGTAAAAGGGGAACAGTTTGGGGTGACAGAAAAGTTTTGCAAATAGTGGTATTCTCAACACAAAAAAGAAATGTACACCTCAAACTTACATGGATGCTATATGCCAATTATATCTCAATTTAAAAAAGATAATGGTAATGGTTGCACAATACTGTAAGTGTAATTAATGCCACTGAATTTTAAGTGATTAAAATGTCAAATTTTATGTCATATATATTATTTTTTTTAATTTTAAGGATAAAAATCTTTCTAGTCAGCACTTCCCTACACCCACCATGAGCTATAGCCTTGTTTCTCTGTTTCCCTTTATAGCAAAACCTTCCAAAAGACTTGTCTATATTTGCCTTTTCCAATACTTATTCTGTTTTTGCTTTGGCCCATCTAATCTCTCAAGGGCTTACGCCCCACTACTCCACCAAAATTACTTTTATCAGCTGCCAAGTCCAATGGACAATTATTCTTCCTCTCAGTGGATTTATCAGCAGCTTCTGATGACCCCCTCCTCCTAAAAACATTCTCTTCCCTGTTTCTGAGTCCCAGACCTGTCTCTCAAGACAAGCTCCTCTACCTTTTGCTCTCTGCCCGACTTCTTGGATTCTGGGCCTCCCTGACCCTCCTCAACTTCAACTGTCTGTTTACCTGGACCTCTGCCCACAGACAGCCTGACCCTTCCAACTCACGCCCGCCCCATTACCACTTCACCCGAATGCCCTGACTCCCCTCTCATCATTAATTCTGAGACCTTTCTGAAGAGCCAGCCATGCCCGGGTCTATTTGGTTTCTCTAGTTAAGACATAGTAAGGCCTATCCCATCCCTGACTGAACCTTGTGCCTAAAAATAATGGACATGAACTTCTAGCTCCTTAAAGGACATAGTCAATCTTCCTAATTGTGTTAGAATGCTCTCAATTAAAATAGATGAAGTTGGTTGCTGAAAATAATCAATGTTAAACACTTATTTGTATTTTCTTCATGGATCCATCTGCTTTACTTAGATTATTTTATTTAGATGATACTAGAACAGTGATGGCGAACCTATGACACGCGTGTCAGAGGTGACACGCGAACTCATTTTTTTGGTTGATTTTTCTTTGTTAAATGGCATTTAAATATATAAAATAAATATCAAAAATATAAGTCTCTGTTTTACTATGGTTGCAAATATCAAAAAATTTCTATATGTGACACGGCACCAGAGTTAAGTTAGGGTTTTTCAAAATGCTGACACGCCGAGCTCAAAAGGTTCGCCATCACTGTACTAGAATATACTTTGTATTCTGTTACCTAGAAAAAGAGAGTGCTTTTAGATTTCTCAGGAAACTGGACACGGATAGAAGATGTGCTTGGGTCCAAATAAAAATAAAGTAAAATGATGGCTACTAGCGTCAGCCCAGGGCTGGAAGTTATTCAATCCTAGATTCCAATTTTCACCTTTACTAATCCTAACACATCTCTTAGGATTAAAGCCACATACCTGGAAGCATCAAGGAACGGTCTGTAGGCCAGGCTGATCCATTCTTCCCTGTTAGATGAATACTTTGGCTCCCGGGGTGTTTCTCTCATGGTGTCCAAATCCACTAAATAATGGCATTTACTGATGTCAATCTGCAATGGAGAAAGGCCAACTCTTCATTAGTAATTACAAGGGTGCCTTCAGGGTCAGGAACTTAAACTGCAATTCTAAGCATTCCCAGAGTTTTAGAAGCACAAGCATCCAAGTCCTCAGATGTTACCTGTGTTCTCTCCACTCAGATAAGAGTGTTGGGTGTTGGGGTATTACCTAGGCTCCTGGGAGTAAGGGGGAGATATGCACACACCGAGCCACAATATATGTAAGCTTTGTGAGTTTTGATTCTAGTTTGGGTATTAAGTCCTTTTAGCCAAACACACTTCTGAAACTAGCATGAGTCTACAACCTACTCGAAAAATTACGTAATTTCTCTTGTTCACTATTGCTCCCTCCCAATGATCACTTCTTAATGCGGAGATTAAAGGCAAGACTAAACACACATGCTAATGTGAAAGGAAACCCTGTCTCTGCTGACAGAGCCGAGTGAGGGTGCAGAGATATCATGCATATCGTCTCCTTCAAAAATTCAACAGAACAGACAGAGACATGGGAACTGTTCCTGCAGCAAAAGATCAATAAACTGTAAAGAGTGGAGAAGATTATGAAAAATATGTTGTAACAATAAGCAAAACTAGTCATTCAGTTGCTCACATCATGGAGACAACACAGCATCACAGGTGCTCAGAAGAGAATATTATAACCATGTTGGGCCTGGTCGGTGTAGCTCCGTGGTTAAGCGTCAACCTATGAATGTGGAGGTCATGGTTCCATTTCTGGTGGGGGCACATGCCTGGGTTGTGGGCTCAATCCCCAGTGTGGGGTGTGCAGGAGGCAGCCAATCAATGATTCTCTCTCATCATTGATGTTTCTCTCTCTCCCTCTCCCTTCCTCTCTGAAATCAATAAAAATATATTTTTAAAAAAACAGGAACCCCACCCCACACACACATAATTGGTATTGTGCTTATAACAAAATTAATTCAATGGAATATGCTATAAACTGTAGGATACTTCTGCAGTTAAATAGTTCATTTCAAACATTCTCTCATCTTGAAGGCATCAGAATATTTACTACCCACAGGGAAAATTTTTAATTTTAAAGAAACTTTTAACTTTTGAAAAATAAAAAATAAAGACTTGAGGTGATAAACACATAATACAATATACAGATGATATATTATAGAATTGTACCCCTGAAATCTATATAATTTTATTAACCAATGTCATCCCAATAAATTCAATTAAAAATACAATAATAAAGACGACACAAGTTTCTCTGAGGTTAAATAAAACTCAAAGATAGAAAATATCACTGTGATATTGTGATTTAAAATAAATATATATTTTGGTTTTTGTCCACAGTCCTGGTTCACAGCTCCCCAAACCCTTGTTATTTCCTAGTTAATAGCAATGGGAGCATCTTTTATTATAATATTAGGTCTCCTGTCCTCAGTTCCTGAAATTCCTTCATAGAGATGAAAGGGGTGTCTCATTATTCATAGCAAGCTGCTTTCAACAGCAACTGAGTTTATATTAACAGGGTAACTTTTGGAAAGCACCTAAAAATGAGAGAGGAGGCTGGTCACCAAGTGATTAGAGGGTTCAAACTTTCAGCCCTACCCCTGACCTCTGAGGAGGAAAGAGAGATTATACCCTGAGTTTAATCACCAATGGCCAATGATTTCATTAATCATGACTGTGTAATGAAGCATCCATAAAAACCCAAAAGAACGGGTCCAGGAGATTAAGTTGGTAGAAGTTTTTCAAAAAACTGGACGAATCTACTAAAATTGAACATAGGTATCTCCTATGATCCAACAATTCTACTCCTAGGCAATTCTACTCCTAGGTATTAGATTGAACCATATGAAATCATTAATATTTGACTGTTTAATGCACAAAAATGGTCATTTCACATGGTTCAAGCTAAGTATATCCAATTGAAATGCATGCAGCAAAAAGACAAGTTCAAGAATGTTCAGTGTCATTATTTGCAGTTGGTTCAGATTGGAAAAAAACAAACATCCAACAGTAAAATAATAAATTGTGGTATAGCCATACAATTAAATACTATCTATACCAGCCGTGGGCAAACTATGGCCCGTGGGCCGGATCCGGCCCATTTGAAATGAATAAAACTAAAAAAAAAAAAAGACCGTACCCTTTTATGTAATGATGTTTACTTTGAATTTATATTAGTTCACACAAACACTCCATCCATGCTTTTGTTCCGGCCCTCCGGTCCAGTTTAAGAACCCACTGTGGCCCTCAAGTCAAAAAGTCTGCCCACCCCTGATCTATACTAATAAAAGGGTAATATGCTAATTAGACCAGAAGTCTTCCGGACATCCTTCCAGACAAAGCTGCAGTGGCTGCGAGGGCCAAAGGCAGGCAGCCATGGCGGCGGCTGCAAGGGCAAAGGGAAGGCAGCCATGGTGACTATGAGGGCCGAGGGAAGGCCGCTGTGAAGGCCGGCAGTGGCAGCAGCAGCGAGGTGATGGGGGCGGCGCCTTCCCCTGATAGCCCAGTTGCCCCACCCGCCTCCCCCTACAGAGGGAGGCCAGAGGAAGCAGCAGCAGTAGCTGGGGTGATGGGGGGCACCTTCCCCTGATTGCCCAGTCGCTTCCCGCAGAGGGAGGTCAGAAGCGGCAGCAGCAGTGGCTGGGTGGCTGGGGTGATAGGCCAGAAGCAACAGCAGTGGCTGGGGTGATGGACAGCGCCTTCCCCTGATCAACCCGGTCACCTCCCGCAGAGGGAGCCAGACTGTTACGGGCCTAAGCTGTCAGTAGGACATCCCCTGAGGGCTCCCAGACTGTGGGATCAGGCCTAAACCAGCAGTCGACATCCCCCGAGGGGTCTTGGATTAGAGAGGGTGCAGGCCGGGCTGAGGGATTCCCCCCCCCTGCACAAATTTCGTGCACCGGGCCTCTAGTCTATAATAATAAAAGCGTAATATGCTAATTAGACCAGACGTCCTTCCGGACATCCTTCCAGACGAAGCCGGGGCTGCGAGGGAAGCCCAGGTCCTGGGTGCCAGAGGGAAGCGGTGCCAGCAGCCAGGGGAAGGAAGGCCTATTCTTGCACGAATTTCGTGCATCGGGCCTCTAGTATAGTAATAAAAAAGAACAAACCACAGATATATGCAACAACATGCATGATTATCACAAACAAAATGTTGAGTTAAAGGATTAAGACACAAAAAAATGCAATATGATTCCATGTATATGAAGTTCTACAACAGGCAAAACTAACTCATCCTGTTTAGGAATGCATATAAGAGGAGTAACTGTAAAGAGGAAAGCAAAGAAATTATTATCATAGAGTCGGGAAGCTCCATCTGAAGGGTGAGTAGGTAGTGACAAAAGGAACTGCTGGAAGCTTCTGGGTGCTGGCAATGCCCTGGGTGATGGTTAAACAAGTATTTGCTTTATTTTCTATTATTATTAATTTACTGCACACTTATGCTTTATGCACTATGGATTACACAGAATTGAAGGTTTTTTAAGTGCATATAAGAAAAATTCAGTCGCCTCTGGCTTACAGTAAACTCTGTTCTTCCCCAACCTCTCACTCAGAGTAACAGTCTCATTTTCTCCCAGCATTATTTTTATGTAATGAAGATTCCAGTCTCACATCTGGCTCTGCATACGGGCTGTTTCTCCAGGGGAGAGAAAGCATACTGAGAATTGACGTCAGATTCAATTCCATTCCACAGAACGCTCTAAAAATGACCCTTTGCATAAACACTTCAGGAAGCAGCCTTTTTGGTCTGAACCTCCACTCTGTAGCTCCCAAGGATTTTGAAAACATGAAAACTTTTTTTTTTAAGTTTTGCAAGTACCATGTCTCTGAAATCAAACAAAAGCAGCAAGGGCCACAGACTCTCATGGTCTCATGCCTAGACCTCCTTTGGTGAGGGAGCTCTGAGTAGGACATTTTAATACTTGACCTCAGTCAGACACACTACAGACCTCATTATCTAGACTGGGTGTTGGGTACATGGTCTTTCAGAGATGTGGATAGTAACTAATTAATGCCCAACTATGCCAGTCAGCTTTAGGCTCCACTCATTAACCATCCATATATAAATTCCATTTAAAGTAAAGTTTTATAAAGACAGAAACCGCCCTAGCTGGTTTGGCTCAGTGGATAGAGAGCATTGGCCTGCGGACTGAAGGGTCCCAGGTTCGATTCCCAGTCAGAGCACTGCCCACGTTGCAGGCTCGATCCCCAGTAGGGAGCATTCAGGAGGCAGCCAATCAATGATTTTTCTTTCATCATTGATGTTTTTTTCTTTCTCCCCTTTCTCTCTGAAATCAATAAAAAAATATTTTTAAGAAAAGACATAAATCAACACAAAAATCATATTAATTGCAATCCTAATCCATTTTTTAAAATGTAATCTCTTTAAATCCTTTCTAGGAAACAGATGCTAAAGATTCTTTTTTTCTAGGAAACAGTTACTGAACAACTGAAACACACAAGCACAAAAGCCTCTGGCAGAAAAATGGTTAGTATGATCAAGGGCAGGCTCTCTATTAGAGATGAAATAAGATAATTAGAAAAAGAAGCTCCAACAATCAATCAATAAAAAGGCAACCTATGAAATAAAAAACAATATTTGCAAACCATATATCTGATAAGATATTAATGCTCAAAATATATAAGGAATCCATACAACTCAATAGCAAAACAACAAATATTTTTTTAATATATTTTATTGATTTTTTACAGAGAGAAAGGGAGAGGGATAAAGAGTTAGAAACATTGATGAGAGAGAAACATCGATTAGCTGCCTCCTGCACACCTCTTACTGGGGATGTGCCTGCAACCAAGGTACATGCCCTTGACCGAAATCGAACCTGGGACCCTTCAGTCCGCAGGCCGATGCTCTATCCACTGAGCCAAACCAGTTAGGGCACAACAAATATTTGATTTAAAAATGGGCAAAGGTCCTCAACAGACACTTTTCCAAAGACATACAGGTATATGAAAAGGTGCTTAATATTACTGATCATTAGGGAAATGCAAAGCAA